TCCCCCGCTGCTGTCTAATTATAGAGGAGTCAGCTGCTGCCAACTGATCCATCCTAAATCCAGGCTTATTATGAGCTGTGCTGGCCCCTCCAGCTCCCCCCCTTTGGATATGGACTGAATCTGGCACCAGATCCCCTTCCTGCCTTCCCGGGTGGCTGTGGGGGCTCCCCTTTCCCACCCTCCTGTGCTGTGCCCCGGCAGTCCCTGCTCAGTTCACAGTCTGAAAAGCCAGAAATCCTCTGATCCCAGCCCAAGGCATGGCTGGAGCCTGAGGCCCTGCTGCTTCCCAAGCTCCCCCACCAGGGATATGGACACAGGGACGGCAGGAGGGAAGCCAGGAGCGTGGGGTGGACGAGGAGCGCCACGGGCAGCTGGGGACACGGCTGAGCTGAACCACAGAACTGCTGTGGAGGAGGGAAATGGGAAATGAATCCAGTGGATCTCTGGGAATGCTGGCAAGATGGTTTGGGGGAAAGCAGCCAAATGCCTGCCAGACCCCCAGCAACACTTTTCCCCCGGAGAAGCCAAGAGGATGAGAGGGAGAAGGGCCATCAGTGGGGGACAGTCAGAGGATCCACCCTCTGAGCCCGAGACAGGAACACCGTCCCACCAGGATGTGTCCTTTTCCCATCAGGGAACACAGGCTTTTCTCCAGGACTGCTCCAGCCAACACCAGTCCCAGGTGGTCAAACCCCAAGAGAAAGCTGAAGGAATGTCAACCCGGTGACTCAGCACAGACTGCTGTCCCTGCTGAACCTGTGCACTTCCATGAGTCCCTGCAGCAGCACTGCAGAGCGATGAGGACAGTGGTGCCTCCTGGGACCTCACTGGTGGCAGCAGGACTCTGCCCTGAGGACATCTGAGAGCCCCAGCCCGTTCTCCTGGTGACAGCAGAGGTAGAATTTTGGCAGCTCCTGCTGCAGCTTTGGTTTAAGCAAAGCGAGGTCACCACAGGGCTGGGCAGTGGCAGCGAGCTGGGAATGGCACTGGGACCAGGGAATGAGACTGAGAGGGAGGTGAGGCCAAGTGCCATCAGCCCCATTCTGCATCCTGCTCTGGGGTGGGGCTCTGATCAGAGCAGGTCCGAGACAGCCTCAGAGCAGGGTTTGGGATCAGGGAGCTGCTCACCAGTCCCCCAGCGGGTGCAGCCGGGGTGGAACGGGGCTGTGGGCGGCTCGGGGGAGCTGCTGCTGCCAGGGCACGTGGGGCAGGTCCTGCCTTGTCCCTGGCACCCTTCCCCTTGGGCACGGCCCTGGCAGAGAGCCGGGAATGCTGCAGGGACCGTGGTGCTGAGGGAGACAGGATGGGTCCCACGGGCGGCGGAGCGGCCCCTGCCAGCGCCGGCACTGGGTGTCCCTGCCCTCCCACGGCTGTCCAGCTCCCAGGCAGCCAGGGAATGCTGAGAGACCCGTGGGAAGGGCATCCCAAGGTCTCATGGCAGCCCTGCTGCCAGCCCGGGGTGTCGAGTGTCCCAGGGGCAGGGGGTACATGGGGCCACAGCTCCCCTGGCTCCCCGGCTCCCCCCACCTGCAAGAGCTGACAAGTGGCTCCTTTGGCATTTTCCAACGTCTTTTTTTCCATGTGGAGCATCTCTCTGGAGCAGAGCTCAGCTGTTTCCTCAGGAGCATGGGGGGGCTCAGGTGGCTACAGCCCCATCCCATCCCATCCCATCCCATCCCATCCCATCCCATCCCATCCCATCCCATCCCATCCCATCATGACTGCTGGTGGTCCCCATACACACCATATCCACATTCATGTCCCCATACACACCATATCCACCCCATACACACCATACCCACCCCACACACCATATCCACCCCATACACACCATATCCACCCCATACACACCATATCCACCCCACACACACCATATCCACCCCATACACACCATATCCACCCCACACACACCATATCCCCCCCACACACCATATCCCCCCCATACACCCCATATCCACCCCACACACACCATATCCCCACACACACCATATCCACCCCATACACACCATATCCCCATACACACCATATCCCCTCACACATCATATCCACCCCACACACCGGTTCCCCCTCACACACTGTACCCCACCATGGAGCAAAGGCAGTGGGGCAGAGGGGGCTCAGTGCTCTGCCCTGGCTGATTTGGGGGCTGATTTGGGTTTTACCAACCCCGAGGTTGATCCAGGAGGGGCACAAGGAAGGTTCAGTGTCCCCCCAGCACTCTGGGGACAGCCCTAGGGGTCAGCCCCAGCCACCAGCTGCACATTCCAGTCCCATGGTGACACCTGCGGGTGAGGGACTGTCCTTGTGTGTCACCCTGCCCGACCTGGCACCCTGCCCTACCTGGCACTGCGTCCCCACATGTCCTTCTGTCCCTACGTGTCACCTCATCCTCCCCAAGTCAGCCTGTCCCTGCAGGTCACCCGTGACATGTCACGCTGTCCCTGCCCCTGAAGTGTCACCCTGTCCCTCTGTCTCTTTGTCCTTATCTCACTCCCTGCCTGAACATCCCCCGATTCCTGCGTGTCACCCCTCTGCCTGTCCCTGCAGCCTGGAGGATCCAGGACATGGGCACATGGCTGGGGCAGCAGGGCCATGGTGCCCTGGAGCCCTTGGGGACACGGGGACAGTGCCACAGGCAGAGCCAGGCAGCACTGGTGTCCCTGCCCACGGCACAGGGATCTGGGAGGGAGCCAGGACCAGGGGGCTGCAGCAGGGAAGGGATGACCAGGCCTGTGCTGGCCTGTGGGGGGCTGTCCACGATGGCTGTGCCTGCAGTGGGGGGCAACTGCAGGGTCCTGCTTCCCTGGGAAAGGGCAGGAGAGGGAAGGTGGCCCCAGTAGTGGCCCCTCCGTAGCCCCCATCATGTCCCCACCCCATTCTCTACCTCCTCCATCTCCCCATCGCCCCCTCCATCGCTCCTCCATCCCCTCTCCATAATACCTCCATCCCCTCCATTGTCCCTCCATCCCTCCACTGCCATCCCTCCCCCCACACTCCTCCACCCCCCCTTGCCCCCTCCATCCCTCCTCCACCCCCCTTTATTGCCCCCTCCTTTTCCTGCCACCCTCTCCATTCCCTCCATTCCCCTCCATCCCTGCTGCATCATCCCTCTCATCCCCCTCCCCCCCATCACTCCTTCCATCACTGCTGCATCCCCCTCCACAACATGCTGAAACCTCCCTGAAGCTTCCATCCCCTCCATCCCTCTCCATCCTCTCTCCATCCCCCTCCATCCTTCCTCCATCCCCTCCACCCTCCCCATCCTCCTCTCCATCCTCCACATCTCCCATCCATTATCCCCCTCCATCCCACTTCCATCTCCCCTCCATCCCTGCTGCATCCCCCTCCCACCCCCCCTCCCTCACGCCCTCCTTTGTCCCCTGGTCCCCCTCCATCACGGGGGCTGTGCCTTTGGGGAGGGGACTGTGCCCCCTGGAAGCTCCTCCTGGAGCCAGAAGACTTGGATAGGGCCAGGCAGGCCTGCATATGGCAGCAAATACCCTAATTAATTAATTATGGGATAATCTCTGGTTCCGGGGAAGGAACGGGTGGCTGCTCAGACTCGATTAACCACAAGAATGTTTAATCTCCCCCCACAGCCCCATAAGGAACCGGGATTATTCCCGCCTGGCTGTGCAGGGATGCGCCAGCCTGCGAGGGGGCACAGAGCCTGGGACAGCCCAGGGACCTCCAAACACCGCAGGGGGCTGCCCAGCTCTGCAGGGATGGGATGGGATAGAATGGGATGGGGAGTTATCCCTGTGCCTGCTGCCAGGCCCAAGAAAAGGGTTCTGTCCCTGCTCGAGTGCTGGGGCTGGGCAAACCCTGCCTCTCCAGTCCCTCCTACCCTCCATCCTGCACCCACAGCCCCCATCATGGACCCTGCTCCCTGCATCCCAATCCCAGTCCCAGAGCCCCCATCATGGACCCTGCTCCCTGCTCCCTGCATCCCAATCCCAGTCCCACAGCCCCCATCATGGACCCTGCTCCCTGCTCCCTGCATCCCAATCCCAGTCACCCACAGCCCCCATCATGGACCCTGCTCCCTCCATCCCAATCCCAGTCCCACAGCCCCATCATGGCCCCTGCTCCCTCCATCCCAATCCCACAAAAGTACTCTGCATCCTGCATACAAATCCTGCATCCTTCATTCTGCAACCCACATCCTGCCTTCCAGTGCAGCATCCCAGCCCTGCATTCCAGTTCTTCATCCCTCATCCCACATCCCAGTCCTGCATCCTTGCATTCCAATCCTGCATCCCAATCCTGCCTTTTTTTTAATCCCACATTCCAATCCTGCATTCTTTGCCCTGCATCCCAATCCTGTGCTCTGCATCCTCCATCTCAGCCCTGTATCCTTCATTCTACATCCCAATCCCACTTCCTAATGCTGTATTCCAGTGCAGCATCCCAGTCCTGCATCTTTCATCCCTCATCCTGCATTCTTCATCCCCCACCCCAGCCCCGCGTTCCACATCCCAGCCCCGCGTCCCAGTCCTGCATCCTTCATCCCGCATCCCAACCGCGCATCCCAGCCCCGCATCCCAGCGCCGCCGCCGCCCCCGGGCGCAGCACAAAGGCCGCACTACAGCTCCCGGCGTGCCCGGGGGGAGCCGGGGGGGTCGGAGCGCTCCCGGGTGCGGGCTGTGTGCGGGCCGCGCTCGGGGGCGCGCTCGGGGGCGCGGGTGCGGGGCCGCGCTCGGGGGCGCGGGTGCGGTGCGCGGGTGCGCGCCGGGGTGCGGGTGCGCGGGTGCGTGCGGGGCGCGCACCAATCGCCGCCCGGCCGCGCCCCGCCCCGGCCCGCCCCGCCCGCCCCATCCCCGCACCGGGCGGGGCGCAGCGGCCGCGCTGCCATGAGCGAGCGCCCGGCGGGGCCGCCCCGCCGCGCCCCGGCCCCCGCGCCCCCGCGCCCGCTCCGCCTCGGCCCCGGCCACGGCCCCGGCCCCGGGGATGCCGCGGGGGCGGCGCGGCTGAGCCCCCCAGCCCCGCTGCGCCGCCGGCCCCGCCCGCCGCCGCCATGGCCGGCAAGCCCCGCAGCGGCTGCGAGGCGCTCCGGGTGGTGGCCCGGTGCCGGCCCATGAGCCGGCGGGAGGAGGCGGCGGGATACGAGCGCGTCCTGGAGCTGGACGTGAAGCTGGGCCAGGTGAGCATCCGCAACCCCCGCGCCGCCCCCGGGGAGCTGCCCAAGACCTTCACCTTCGACGCCGTGTACGACGCCAGCTCCAAGCAGGCCGATCTGTACGATGAGACGGTGCGGCCGCTCATCGACTCGGTGCTGCAGGGCTTCAACGGCACCGTCTTCGCCTACGGCCAGACCGGCACCGGCAAGACCTACACCATGCAGGGCGCCTGGGCCGAGCCGGAGAAGCGCGGCATCATCCCCAGCGCCTTCGAGCACATCTTCACGCACATCTCCCGCTCCCAGAACCAGCAGTACCTGGTGAGGGCCTCGTACCTGGAGATCTACCAGGAGGAGATCAGGGACCTCCTCGCCAAGGACCAGAGCAAGAAGCTGGAGCTGAAGGAGAACCCCGAGACGGGGGTGTACATCAAGGACCTCTCCTCCTTCGTGACCAAGAACGTCAAGGAGATCGAGCACGTGATGAACCTGGGGAGCCAGACGCGCTCCGTGGGCAGCACCAACATGAATGAGCACAGCTCGCGCTCCCACGCCATCTTCCTCATCACCATCGAGTGCAGCGAGACGGGGCCGGACGGCGAGGAGCACATCCGCGTGGGCAAGCTCAACCTGGTGGACCTGGCCGGCAGCGAGCGCCAGAACAAAATGGGGGCCCACGGAGAGCGCCCCAAGGAGGCCTCCAAGATCAACCTCTCCCTCTCCGCCCTGGGCAACGTCATCTCCGCGCTCGTGGACGGCAGGAGCACTCACATCCCCTACCGGGACTCCAAGCTGACCCGCCTGCTGCAGGACTCCCTCGGGGGCAACGCCAAGACAATCATGGTGGCCACCTTGGGCCCGGCCTCCCACAGCTACGACGAGAGCCTCTCCACGCTCAGGTTCGCCAACAGGGCCAAGAACATCAAGAACAAGCCCCGGGTGAACGAGGACCCCAAGGACACCTTGCTGCGGGAGTTTCAGGAGGAGATCGTCCGGCTGAAAGCCCAGCTGGAGAAACGCGGGATGCTGGGGAAGAAGAGGAGAAGGAGCAGCCGGAGGAAGAAGGCCATGGATGGAGAAGGCACCGTGGAGAATGAAGGGGAGGACGACAACGAGGACGGCCTGGAGAAGAACATGGAGAACTACTTGAAGGAGCAGAAGGAGAGACTGGAAGAGGAGAAAGCCGCTATCCAGGACGACCACAGCCTGGTGAGCGAGGAGAAGCAGAAGCTGCTCCAGGAGAAGGAGAAGATGATCGAGGACCTGCGGAAGGAGCAGGAGGCCACGGAGCTGCTGGCCATCAAGTACAAGGTACGTGTCACCACGCGAGGCCGGGGGGAAAGACCTGCTGTGCCCCCAGCCCCTCACGGCGTGTGGGAACGGGCCCCAATCTGGGAGCCTGTGCCAGGGGCACACCCGGCTGCCCAGGCAAGGGGGACCCTCAACAAGGTGTCCAGGCAGGGCCCCCGAGAGACCCTGACCCACGCTGATGTGTGGGGCTGGGCAGGGTTGGCCTCTGGTGTGGACGTGCATTGGAACCCTGTGTGGAGCTGCAGGGAGGCGGGTGGGAAGGGCTGTGGGGGAGTGGGTCACTGGTGGCACGAGTTTGCTGTGCTCAGCTCTGGTCCCCCTCGGCACAACAAAGCAGCTTGTGGCAGGGAGGGGGAGTGACGGGAGTGATGCTGCAAATTCATCCCCGGTGGCACCAGGAGCGTGCCCAGGGCTGAGGCTGGGGACACTGTGCACCTGCCTCCCACCAGCCCCTCACTTGTGCTGGGCTGGGCAGGGCTGTGAGCCCCTGGCACGGCCTGGCAGCTCTGCAGGGACCCCCGACCCCCTCCCGACCCCAAAGCCTTCCTGGCACCCTGAGCCGGAGCGGGGTGGGTGGGGGCACATAACTGGATCCACCACTGGCTCCACCACCGGCTCAGGGATACTCAGGGATGCTCAGGGATGCTCAGGGATGTGGGGCTGAGGGTGAGAGGGGCCATGGCAGCCCCAGCCGTGCCGGGGGTCTGGGGCTGCACCTCTGCCCCCACCCCAGCCCTGCTCCTGTCCCTGGTGAGGCTGGGGGGTCCTGACCCCCACCCATGTGCCCTTGGCAGCCGTGGGGCCGTGACAACAGTGAGGGTGGTGGGGAGGGAGCCCCAGCCCCCTGACCCGGGGGGAGAGGGAGCCCCAGCCCCCTGACTGCAGAGCCCCTCAGGCACAGCCCCTCAGGCACCGGGGTGGCCCAGATGCAGCGACAGGGCTGGAGCACAGGCAGGGGCCTCTCTGGAGGGGGACGTGCTCAGGGTGTCAGGGCTGAGCTGGGGGTTCCAGACCCTCCTCCGTGGGCAGGGCTGTGTTGTTTGTTGCGGCCCCGGGGACGCTGGGCCGTGCCCAGGGACACATGGCCGTGCCCAGGGATGCGTGATCATGCCCAGGGATGCGTGGCCGTGCCTGGATGCCTGCACAGAGACCCGTGGGAACCCGCTGGGACGTGCCACTGGGGCAGAGCCGTGGGGGGGACGCTGGTCCCTGGCTGGCACGGCGGGTGTCCCGTGGCAGTTGTCCTGGCACAGCAGGATGCCCAGCCTGGTCCCCACAGCCATCCCCCTGCCACAGTGGGGTGTGGGTTGTGGGGTGCAGGCTGTGGCTGGCAGCTGTCCAGCATGGTCTCCTCATCTGGCACAGCACAGCAGGGCTGGCCCAGGGCCGCTGTGTGTCCTGGAAGTGCTGAGTAACACGGCAGGGCTGGAGGCGAGGTGACACTGCGTCCCCTTGGGTGGCCTTCAGAGCCTCTGTGTACACAGGGATCCTCTGGCCGGGGGCACAGCACAGTCACAGCAGTGAGGCGTCACCTCAGGGAGCAGAAATCCCCCCTGTGTCAGCCCAGCGCTCACCCCACCGGGCACTGTCTGGGGGACACTGCAGGGGTCACTGGGTGGCCTCCCGGTGCCCACGGGCAGCTCTGGCACACAGCAGGGCCAGGCAAGGAGCCACTGGCTCTGTTGTGGCCGTGGCAAAGGCAGCCAGGGTGACTGGGGGGACACGGGGTGCCCCCCACACCCGGGGGGGACACACTCTGCACCCCCTGCGTCATCACACTGGTGGGTGTGGGCTCTGCCTCTGCCACCCGGCTGGGTTAGTGGGCACCACAGAGCGCAAAGAGGCGGGGGCCAGCCCGCCCAGCTGTGCTCCTGGGCACCCAGCTGTGCTCCTGGGCTCCCAGATGTGCCCAGGGGGCGGGGCAGTGCCGGGGACAAGCTGGGTGTGGGTGCCGTGGGCCCTGACAGCTCTGCCGGGGGCTGAGGCCGAGGTCAGCGGGAGGGAAAGCGCTGGAAAGTTATTTGGGTGCCGGAAATAAGTTCCTGGAGGGGCTTAGTGCTAAAGGAGATTGGGAGGCTGCTGGTTGGAGGGAGTAAGTGCTCTGGCAGGGAGAAAACAACAGCACTAAGAAACCCTTAATCCAGAGGGGAGGGTGTCACTGCTGGGGAGGGGAGGGAGGGAAGGCAGCAGCATCGTCCCTGCACCCCAGCAGGGGTAGGGGACACTCAGCATCCCAGGGAACAACTGGGGCCAGGAACTGGGTTTGGAGGAGAAGGATGAGGGGCCTGGAGCACCCCAGTGCCCCCAGCCCAGCTGCTCCGGGAGCCCTGGCAGGGGATGGCACAGGATCGAGTTGGGGGCTGCCCTCGGGGTCCCACCCCCAGCAGAACACCCGGCCAGCACCCCCCATCCGAAGGTGTTGGGGGCAGGAGGAGGAGGAGGAATCCCAGGGTGGGGGTCAGGGGGCTGGATGGGGCACCCACGGGGCTGTGCCCCCGCAGTGCTGAACGGCTGCAGGGGTCTCATGGGGTGGGGGAAGGTGGGAGCCGCTGCTGCAGTTGTGGGGTGTCCCGTGGGTGTTGGGGGGCTGCCTGCATGCCCCCACAACCCCACAATGTGCCCCCTCCTGCAGCCAGGAAGGGGAAAAATGGGGGAAAAACAGGAGAAATAGATTCTGGCCCCACATGGCTGTTGGTGGGAATGGGGGTCACTGGTTTGCTGGTGCTGGGGTACAGCCAGGGGATGTGTCATGGGACCCCCGTGGAGACCCCTGTGAGGGGACATGTGACAGCAGCATGAATGCCATCTGTGTCCCCCGAGGCCTGGCAGCCCTTGGGGTGGGGTGGTGGCCCTGCTGCCCCTCAGGGCTGTGGCTGTGGCAGGGGGGGTTCCTGGGAGTCCGGGCACTGTGAGGAGCAGGGACCCTTGATCTGGGGGAGTCCAGAAGGACCCTGAGGGCAGACCCCAGTGGGTGAGGGTGGCCACGTGCTGGTGACAGGAGCACCACGGGGATGGTGGCAGCAGGGGTGCCCTGGGGATGGTGGCAGGGGTCACACCCCGAGGATGGTGGCAGGGGTCACACCCCAGGGATGGTGGCTGTGCTGGCTCTGTGTCTGGCAGGTTGATGTTTAAAGCTGTGTGTGGTGTTGTGGGAACATCGGGGTCTGTCCCTCCTGACGCCCCAGAGCCGCAGCCCTGGGGGCCACGGACACGCTGTCACAGGGACACCCCAGAGCCACAGCCCTGGGGGCCACGGACACGCTGTCACAGGGACCCCCCAGAGCCGCAGCCCTGGGGGCCACGGACACGCTGTCACAGGGAGCCCCCAGAATCGCAGCCCTGGGGGCCACGGACACGCTGTCACAGGGACACACCCAGAGCACACAGCACATGGGGGCCACGGACACGCTGTCACAGGGACCCCCCAGAGCCACAGCCATGGGGGCCATGGACACGCTGTCACAGGGAGCCCCCAGAATCGCAGCCCTGGGGGCCACGGACACGCTGTCACGGGAGCAGGACTGCAGGGCCGGCACACGGCTGCACACAGGGCTGCACTCACAACTGCCACAAGCACTCACACACGGGCACTCACACCTGGGCACTCACACCCGGGCACTCACACATGAGCACTCACACAGGGGCACTCACGATGTGTCTGTGTGTGTGTCTGTATGTATCTGTGTGTGTCCATCTGTGTGTCCGTCTGTGTGTCCATGTGTCTGTCCATGTGTCCGTGTGTGTGTCCGTGTGTGGGTGTGTGCCCAGCTGTGGGAAGGAGGGTTCAGGGGCCGGGCTGCTGCAGCTGCAGCACGTCCTGTCCGTGGAATGTCCATGGAATGCCGTGGGTTCCCAGCTGTGCAGGAGGAAGTGGGACGGGACCAGGCCGGGCTGGGAGCCAGCGGAGGGGGCACGTCACCCACCCCCCAGCCCCGCCCATGGAGCTGAACCGGCCCCGGGCTGGTGGGTGTCCGTAGGATCACGGAATTATTTAGGTGGGAAGAGCCCTCCGAGGCCGTGGAGTCCAAGCACCCAGTGCTGCCCCCAGTGCCACCTCCACACGCCCTTTAAACCCCTCCAGGGATGGGGACTCCCCCCTGCCCTGGGCAGCTGTGCCAGGGCTGGACAGCCCTTCCCATGAAGGAATTGTTCCCAATATCCAATCTAATCGTGCACAGCCCCTCCCCAGCAGCCGGGGACTGAAGCACGTGCCACACGAAGACCTCCAGCCTTCCCAAAAGCAGGGATGAGGGCAGGGAGCAGGGATGGGAGTGACCCCCCAGTGAGGGTGGCCTGAGGCAAAGGCCACGGGTGGGGGGGTGACAACACGCTCTGCCCCCTCCCCAGGCGATGGAGAGCAAGCTGCTCATCGGGGGCAGGACCATCGTGGACCACACCAACGAGCAGCAGAAGATGCTGGAGCTGAGGCGGCAGGAGATCGCCGAGCAGGTAACGGCCCGGGGGTGCCGGGGGCTGCTGGGGGCTCGTCCCCTGGTCCCCTGCCGGTCCCCTCCCGGCTCTGACCGTGTCCCCCCCGCGCTGCAGAAACGCCGGGAGCGGGAGATGCAGCAGGAGATGCTGCTGCGGGACGAGGAGACCATGGAGCTGCGGGAGACCTTCACCTCCCTGCAGCAGGAGGTGGAGATCAAAACCAAGAAGCTGAAGAAGGTGAGTGTGGCGGGTGGGGACAGGGGCAGGGACAGGGACAAGGCCGTCCCTCCTCCCTCCCCAGGGCTGAGGGTGCTGTCCCCCAGCTCTATGCCAAGCTGCAGGCCGTGAAGGCCGAGATCCAGGACCAGCACGACGAGTACATCCGAGTGCGCCAGGACCTGGAGGAGGCCCAGAACGAGCAGACCAGGGAGCTGAAGCTCAAGTAGGTGGTGGTGAGGTGGCTGTGGGGCACCTGGGCCCGGGGTGTGCAGGGCAGAACTGGGGTGTACTGGGCAGAACTGGGGTGCTCAGGACACAGTTGGGGTGTGCAGAGGAGAGCTGGGATCTCAGAGCAGGGCTGGGGTGCTCACAGCAGGGCTGGGGGCACAGATCAGAGTTGAGGTGCTCACAGCAGGGCTGGGGTGCTCACAGCAGGGCTGGGGTGCTCACAGCAGGGCTGGGGGCTCAGGGTGGGTGCAGAGCTGGAGGGATCAATCCCCCCTGACAGGGAGAGCTGAGCCCTTCCCACCCGCCGGCGGTGGCAGAAGGTGTTGGAACCCTGAGCGCTGGGCGAGCAGCACTTGGGGCCTCCAAAAGTTGCTGAGAAAGGGGAAAACCATAAAATATTCCAGCAGAAACACCAGCCCAGCAGTGGCACCAGCTGGGGATGAGCCTGGGGGTGGCAGTGGTGGCTGGGGAGTGAGGGCATCTGGAGACCTGCTCTGGTGGCTCTGGGGGGACTCGGGGTGAGCCCGGCTCTGTGGGAGCTCCCAGCTCCAGGGGCACTGGCAGAGCCAGGCAGTGTTTTCCTTCTGGGAGCCTCCCACAGAAGCAGCTGCTGCTCCACCGCCCCCAGGGGTTTGTTCTCACTTCAAACACTCGTCTCTTTCAGTATCTTTAACCCCCCCAGACATTTACAAGCACTTCAGCATTTTCGAGGTAAAATAGTTTTACTGGAAACAAAATTCCATCTCCTGTTTTCCCCTTTTCCCTCCCGACACATGGCCGTTGAGAAGCTGCAGTTCGGAGGAGCAGCTCGTCGACTGCAAACAGTTTTTGGCAGCTGCTCGATTTGCCCCAAAAAACGTGGGGAAAAAAGATTCCCTTCGGGGTCCATTTGGCATCGTTGAGCTTCCTTTGATTTTCGGGTCAGGCAGGTGCTCAGGTGGTCCTGATCCTGCCTGGAGCCCCAGAGCTCTCAGGAGTCCTGGCTCCTCTCTGATGACTGTCACCCCCCGCCCTTCCTCTCCTGCCTCTCCCCTCTCCGTGGCTCCATCTGTTCCTTCAACCTCTCCACTTCCATCGCATTTTCATCCTCTGGATATTTCCTCTCCCTGCGCTGTCTCCCTCTCTTCCTGCCATCCTTTTCCTCTCCCTTTCCGACCTGTTTTCTGTCTCCTGTCGCATTAACTCCTCCCTCCCCTGCTCCTTCCCCCATCACTCCCTCCCGTCCCTCTCGGCCGGTCTCTGCCTCAGGTACTTGATCATCGAGAACTTCATCCCTCCCGAGGAGAAGAACAAGATCATGAACCGCCTGTACTTCGATGGTGACGAGGACCAGTGGAAGTTCCAGCCGCTGGTGCCCACCGGAGGGTACGTGCCCAGCCTGGCCCCGGCCCAGGCGCTGCCCCGGCGCTGATGGCCCGTGGGCACCGATGTCCCTGGGGCACCGATGTCCCCGGGGCACTGATGTCCCCAGGGCCCTGCAGGTGCCCACGTGTGGAAATCCCCTCCAAGCCAAGCCCCAGGGGCAGGGCCTCGAGCTCCCCCGGTCCCCGCTCGGACACGGCTGTGGTCAGTTTGTGTTCCCTAACGCGGGTTCTCCCCTGCCTGTGCTGCAGGAACAGCTCCCAGATGAAGAGGCGTCCGACCTCGGCCGTGGGCTACAAGAGACCCATCAGCCAGTACGCCCGCGTGGCCATGGCCATGAGATCCCACCCCCGCTTCCGGGTACGCCACGGGGCACTGCCGGGGGCACGGGGCCGTGGGATGAACGGGATGGGGCTGGGTGGATGGACGGACAGATGGACTGAGGTGGGTTGATGGATGGATGGTTGGATAGAAGGATAAGTGGAGGTGGATGGGTGGGTGGATAGATGGGTGGATGGACGGACAAACACCGGGACAGAAGATGGAGTAAACAAGCTCACGATGACCTGGGATACGTCAGCTCAAGCTCCCAGCTTTATCCTGCCCCTTGGCAGATCCCTGCTCTCAGCTGCTCCCGGAGCTGCTGGCCCTGGCTCCAGCAGCTCCTGCTGCTGGGAAGGACAGGGTTGCTCAGCCTGACCCGCTGGGAGCTGGGCCAGGAGAGCTCTGGGAAAGGCCAGGAGAGCCCGAGCGGAGCTGAGGGCCGGTGGGGAGCTGTGCTGCAGCAGTGGAGCTGAGGGCTGGTGTGGAGCTGTGCTGTGCTGCAGCAGTGGAGCAGGGCCGGTGTGGAGCTGTGCTGTGCCACAGCAGTGGAGCTGAGGGCCGGTGTGGAGCTGTGCTGTGCCGCAGCAGTGGAGCTGAGGGCCGGTGTGGAGCTGTGCTGTGCTGCAGCAGTGGAGCTGAGGGCCGGTGTGGAGCTGTGCTGTGCTGCAGCAGCAGAGCTGAGGGCCGGTGTGGAGCTGTGCTGTGCTGCAGCAGTGGAGCTGAGGGCTGGTGTGGAGCTGTGCTGTGCTGCAGCAGTGGAGCTGAGGGCCGGTGTGGAGCTGTGCTGTGCTGCAGCAGTGGAGCTGAGGGCCGGTGTGGAGCTGTGCTGTGCTGCAGCAGTGGAGCTGAGGGCCGGTGTGGAGCTGTGCTGTGCCGCAGCAGCGGAGCTGAGGGCCGGTGTGGAGCTGTGCTGTGCCGCAGCAGTGGAGCTGAGGGCCGGTGGGGAGCTGTGCTGTGCCGCAGCAGCAGAGCAGGGCCCTGCTCCCCAGCAGGAGCAGCTCCTCCTGGCCCCGGGGCCGCTCGTGGTGACTCCTGTGCCGGCTCCCGTGTTCCCTGTCCCTGCAGGCCGAGAACATCATGTTCCTGGAGCTGGACCTCTCCCCCCCAGCCATCTTCGAGTTCGAGCGGAGCCGGGACCCGGCGGAGCAGGACCCGCGGGCGCTGCACCTGGAGCGGCTGATGCGCCTGGACAGCCTCCTGGAGCGGCCGGCGGCCTCCCGCCTGCGCAAGTCCCGCTCCTGGTGAGCGAGCGCCGCGGCCTGCGCGGCATGGGGGCCATGGCACGGCTGGGGGGCTCCCTGGGGACAAAGGGGGCTTGGGGCAGACGGAGGAGTCGCAGCAGGGCTGGAAATCCCCCGTTCCTTTTGGGGCTGAGACTGGCCCTGAGTTGCTGGGCGGGATCGGAGTTTAAAATGTGGCTCACGCCGAGTTGTCGTCGTGCACAGCTCGGTGCAGGAGGGATGTGGAGCTGCTGGAGCGAGTCCAGAGGAGGCCACGGAGATGCTGCCAGGGCTGGAGCCCCTCTGCTCTGGAGCCAGGCTGGGAGAGCTGGGGGGGCTCACCTGGAGAAGAGAAGGATCCAGGGAGAGCTCAGAGCCCCTTCCAGAGCCTGCAGGGGCTCCAGGAGAGCTGGAGAGGGACTGGGGACAAGGAATGGAGGGACAGGACACAGGGAATGGCTTCCCACTGCCAGAGGGCAGGGAGAGATGGGAGATTGGGAAGGAATTCTTGACTGTGACGGTTGAGGCCTTGGTACAGGTTGGGCAGAGCAGCTGTGGCTGCCCCTAGATCCCTGGGAGTGTCCAAGGCCAGGTTGGACGGGGCTTGGAGCAACCTGGTCTAGTGGAAGGTGTCCCTGCCCATGGCAGGGGGTGGAACAGGATGAGCTTTGAGGTCCCTTCCTGCCCAAACCATTCCATGGTTCCATGATACACGTATACCATCCCCACAAGGTACTGCCCTGCCCTGCCCAGCACAGGGTGCTGCCTGCAGATGATGGAGAAAACGACTGGATTTTGGGGATTTGGGGGCCCACAGGAGGCAGGGGCAGCAGAGCCAAGCTTCATTCCTCTCTGTCCCCCAGGTGCCAGACGCCGCGGTCTCTGCCCTCCTCCACCACACACGTGTCCCTCACCTCCAGCGCCCCGTGTGCCGCCATGCCAGCGGTGCCAGCGGTGCCAGCCATGCCAGCTCAGGAGTGACTCCTGGCGCCCTGCTCCGGACTGAGCCCCAGGGGGCCGAGGGAGGCCCGGCCGAACCCGGCCCAGCCCGTCCTTGTCTGCAGCTGCTTTGTGTGCGTGTGTTTGTGAGACACGAACGGCCCGGCGGGGACTGCCCCTCCCTCCCTCCCTGTGCCCTCCCCGGCCCGGATCTGTCACTTTATTTATTTAACCTATTTATTTATGGAGTGGTTGGCGGCGGAGGCGGGAGATGCGCTCGGACTGTTGGACGTGCAGGGCTGGCCCTGGGCACTGTGCTGAGCCCCCGGTCTGTGCAGCTCCCAGCCCTGCCCACGCCATCCTGGCACAGGGCTGGGCACCGCCAGGACACCACTCACCAACCAGGAGGGGCACGGGACCCTCTGCGGGGGCTCTGGTGGGAGCAGCTGAGGCCGCCCTGGACTCTGGTGCTGGCTCTGCTGTGCTGGATCCCAGGGAATTTGGAGATTCCTACACGGATTTGGAGATTCAGTGGTGGCAGCCCCTTGTCAGAGTCCCCCAGCGGGACTCCCCAGCCTGCCTGACACCGGTGGCAGCAGGGACATCTCATGGACATGGGCACGGCTGTCACTCCAGGAGCACCAGCTCCATCCCCAGGGCTCACGGAGTCACCAAAGTCAACCAAAGCCGGGCTTTGTCCACCTGTGCCACACTCTGGAGACGCTCTGGAGGCAGCCCCGGCCTGCCAAGGTGCCTGACACCATCTCCCATCCCTGGGGTGGAACTCCTGACAGCAACAACAAGAGGTGGAACTTTCCAGCCCCTGCCACCCACCCTTCCCAAAGACAGGCAGCCTGTGGAGAGCAGAGGGGTGAGATGAGAGTGCATCTAAAGGCAGTGGAGGTGACGCCCAGGGCAGGGGTGTCATCGCTCTCCTCCGGGCTGGGAAATGCCACAGGGAAGTCACTTGTGAGCTGGGAGAAATTTCCAAGTGTGTTGTGGAGGGATGGGTGTGAAATGGGTGATGGGGAAGCCACGAGGCTGCTCTGGGGACGTGAATCCCATCCCAGCTGCCGCACACGCTGGGACGGCGCTCGGTGTTCCTGCGGGACGGGGCTTTCGGAGGGAGGGAAGGTGGGACCTTGGTGAAGACCCTTCCTGGCAGTGCCAGGCCAGCAGCTGTGCTTTCCCTGGCATGGGGGAGGTGAGGAGATCTGTTTGTGGGACACGATTCTCATGGGTAAGGGAGCAACCCCTGGCTCACCTGGGAGGGTGTGGATTGGCAAAGGGCCGGGCACAGGGAGTCCCTGGGAGGGCAGGTCGGAGAAGATTGCAGGGAGGGAATGTCTTCTGGAAACAAAGAGAATTCCTTCACAGAATAGTTGAGATTGGAAGGGACCCCTGGAGCTCAAGCAGTGCCCTGGAGCACGTTACTCAGGATTGTGTCCAGCTTTGGAGTATCCCCAGGGAAGGAGACTGCAGAACCTCCCTGGGCAGCCTGATCTGCTGTTGGACTGGTCAGGACAGGATGCTCCTGGATGGACAGGACCCTGATGGTCCTGCACACAGGATGGGGTGAGGGAGCGAGGCACATGCACGGAGCAGGAACAGCAGGAGCAGGAACAGCAGGAGCACTGGCTGTGCTGAGCTCAGAGCTGGGCAGATCCCCTCAGCTGTGTCCCATCAGTGCAGATGGGCAGGGGAATCCTCCTGCACTCACCCCTGCTCTGGCACAGGGTGTCCTCTCCCCATCCCCTCTGAGACTGTCCTGCCTCAAGCTCTCAATCATTGCCCTCTGCCTCCCCCTTCCCCTCTCCATCTGCTCCTCATAACACCTTCTGCCCCTCAAAAACCTTGTCCCCTTCTCCCCCTCCAAAACCTTGTCCCCTTCTCCCCCGCCCAGCACCTGGCTCAGAATCCAGCTGGGTGCTGTGGGTGCTCCCAGGACTGAGCTGCCTCCCTCCTGTGCTCAGCCTGGGGAGGAGGGTGTGGGGGAGGGTGTTTGAGGAGTGAGAGATGGGTCCCTTCCACAGTGTGGGGTGGGGTCTGTGTGCACAGGTACCCCCAGCAGCCAGGGGTGTCCATGGGCATTCCCCGGAACAAGCTGGCCCCACAAAACCATCCCCATCCCTGCAAGTGTCCAAGGCCAGGTTGGGCAGGGCTGGAGCAAGCTGGGATAGTGGGAGGTGTCCCTGCCCATGGCAAGGGTGACACTGGATGAGCTTTAAGGTCCCTTCCCACCCAAACCAGTCTGTGATTCCATGATCCTGTAGGACACGGTGGATGGGAGAGATGGCTCTTTGTTTAGTTTCCAGGAAAGCCTCTGGGAGTCGGGGTCAGGAAGCACAGCCTCAGAACAGGGAGAAGCTGTGGGGGGCCTGCAGGAATAGATTTTCCTCCCTTCCTTGTTTTGCAATGGCCCCAGTTCACCTTGGGCAGATCAGCAGCTCGTGGAGCCCCGAGGGGCTGAACCAGTGACCGTCTCCTGCTCCATTCTGGGCCCAGGTGTGGGACAGAGCTGACGGTGTCCTCACCCCCGGCCTGCCCCGGGCCAGGCAGCACCACGGGCAGGGTGGATGAGCCCCGTGCCGCTCTCCCACGGCCTGAGTGTGTCCTCCGGGCATCACAGCGAGGGACAGGCCCGGCTCCAGCTCCAGAAGGACTGTGGTCCCAGTGGGATCCACGCGGAAGCCCCTCCAGCAGAGCACAGGACGGGGGCGGGAGCTCCCAGAGGAGGGGACAGATGAGCCACTTCCAACATCCAACTGCAGGGTCCAGGAGCCCCCCGAGCCCTCTCTCCGGCACTGCCGAGCCCCCCAGCCCAGCAGGCCCCTCGGAGGGTGGGCTGGGAGCGGCTGCTGGGGCTGAGCAGGTTCCTGCGCCCCGGGGTGTGTTCGTGGCGTCCGTCGGTGTCCGTGTGTCCCACCGAGTGTGTGCCGGGGTCTGTGACCGTCAGTGTGAGGGGCTGCACGGGGCAAAGCCCCTGGGGGGACAGGGCTGGGCTGGGGCTTCTTTCTGTTGTTGTTGAACTTTGGGTTCCTTTGGGTTCCAGGTTTGGAGGTTTTTCCGCGTGGGGGTGGGTGTGGGTCTGTTCCGGGTTTGTGGACAAGGTGAGGGCCTCGATTAGGACCAAATTTTCGTGCCTGTTGCTCTGGTGATTTATTTAGAAATCAAAAGTTCACTGTCTGGTGGCCCATCCTTGTCACTATACATAGGAGTATACAGGACATATTATAAATATATATATATTATACATACTGTACGGAGAGGTGTCCGCCCCCCGCCCCGGCCGGGATGGACCCTCCTCCCTGTGCTGTAACGTAGCTTCGACCCCGCGCTGGGAGCGCCCTCCGGAACGGCAACGACACAATAAAGGAATGAGCATCGTGGCCAGGCCGTGCGCTGCCTCCTTCGTCCGCCCGAGCCACCGCGGCACCGCCCCGGCACAGCCCGGCACCCTCTGCCCCGCAAGGGGGGATTTGGGATCGTCCCCGCGGCGAGGATTTGGGATGAGGGCATGGACGCCTCCACCTGCCTCTGTCTCGTGTGAGAGGGTTTGTCCTAAAGCAACCAATTCCAGCCCGGGGACAAGGACGGGAACGGCCCCGGCACCGTCTGGTTTGTCACATGGACACAGCCTGGGGGCTGGCACAGGGGGGTGACACAGGAGGGGTGACACAGGCAGGGCTGGCACAGGGGGGTGGCACAGGAGGGGTGACACAGTCAGGGCTGGCACAGGAGCCCCACCCAGGTCACAGAGTGGGGCGGGCGGTTCTTGCAGAGGAAGGAGGGAAGAGCCTGGGGGTAAAAAATGAGATTGAGCGGGGACAGTTCCAGCCCAGGAAGGAGCTGTGGACACCAAAGTGAATCCAGGCTGCTGGTGGAACAGGAGTTTGAGTGGCCTCGCTGTCTCAGGAGTGGCAGTTCGGAGTGGGGAAGGGCCTGGTGATATCCCAAGGGCTGCTTCATTTTTCCCTTGCCATTGGAAATGGGGAAATTCCCACGGCTCAGGTATTAAAGCAGCTCTAAAAAAAAACCACTGCAGAGGCACAGAATTGGTTTGGGAGGGACCTTAAATCCCATCCCATTCCACCCCCTGCCATGGGCAGGGACACCTCCCACCAGCCCAGGTTGTTCCAAGCCCCATCCAACCTGGCCTTGGACACTTCCAGGGATCCAGGGGCAGCCACAGCTTCTCTGCCCAACCTGTGTCAGGGCCTGCCCACCCTCTCAGGGAAGGATTTCTGCCCAATATCCCATCTATCCCTGCCTCTGGCAGCTTAACTCCCAGCTCCGCTGTTGTCCGTGGCAGAGGGATTTAAAAGCTGTGTGGATGTGGCGTTTGGGGACATGGTCAGTGGTGGCCCTGGCAGTGCTGGGGGAACAGCTGGACTCGGTGGCCTCCGAGGTTTTTCCAGCCCAAACGACTCCGTGTCTCTGTGATTCCAAGCACGCAGAGATTTGTTTTGCCTCAGTCCCCACCGGAAAGGTCAGCTGTGATCAGGTGAGTAACAACAAATGCCAGTGACAGGGGCTGAGGCTAAAACAAGAAAATGGAATATTAAAGGTCTCTCATAGACCCTGGATGTTCCCAAATCAGCCAGGTCGAGTTTAACTCACACGTAGGGAATTTGGTAAAGCAACCCTGGAGCTGCCATGAGGTATTTTGGGATCTTGTAGAGAAGAGGCCCGAGTGTCCAAACAGGAACAGGACAAACATAAGGAATATCTTGAAAAGGGGGAAAGGGGGACTGAGGAGATTCTTCACTCATTCAGCTCCTGAAAGGATCGAGTGGATCAACAAAACCCGTTAATGACGCCAGAGGGCAAAGGATGGTGGGATAAACCCTGAGCATCCCTCCCAGCCCTGCTGTCTCTGAGTCTGGCACTGGAAATTCCTGCAGGGCTGCAGTCTGGGTGCCTGGGAGGACAGCGGGACCTGGGCAGAGCTGGGAGAGCTGGAGAGGGGTGGGACAGGGAAGCCCTGGGGCCCTTGGGCTCTCCTGGCACCGGGCAGAGCTCAGCTGTCCCGCTGGGTTAATGGCCCCAGGGACCCCCTGCCTTTGTGTCCCCTCCCTCAGGCTGGATGGCCTGGGCTCCTGCATCATGAATATTGATGGCATCATGAATATTGATGCCCGGGTTCATTAAATTTGCAAGGCAGCAAATCCTGGGGGGAGGGAGGCTCAGACTCTGTTGATTCCATTGCTAAAGCAGAAGTAAAGGTTATTATCATCTTTATAAGGTGTTTTGGGATTTTATTTGTTATAAAAAGCTACAGAAGAGCCAAACTTTTTTACTCCTGAGTAAAGTATTTCAGCACCAAGGGAACCAGAGCCACCAGGAGTTCACTGTGTGCACCTCCCGAGACAGAAGCTCTGTGGGAAGCCTTTGGTGCAGAGAGGGTTTGGGGGCTTATTTTTGATTTCTTTTGCTGTTCCCTGACACTCTGATGACACCATGTGGGCTTCTCCCTCTCCTACTGGAGCTTTTCCTCCTCGATGGCTCTTCCACTCCTTTCCCTACGTTTTCCTCTGTTGATTTTTCCTTCAGGCCGTACCTCAGTCTTGAATGGCTTCCAGCACAGGAGTCACATCACTGATGTGGCTGCTCCTGGATCCCTGGAAGTGTCCAAGGCCAGGCTGGACAGGGCTTGGAGCAACCTGGGCTGGTGGGAGGTGTCCCTGCCCGTGGCAGGGGTGGAATGGGATGAGCTTTGAGGTCCCTTCCCACCCAAACCATTCCATGGTTTGATGATTCCATGAAAAGGGCAATCAAGACTCTGCCAAGGTGAGATTGAGACTAAACCTTGGATGAAACCGATGAAAACTTAGGCTGAATTTTATCAGCAATGTTTTCCCAAATGACAGCAGCAGCAGAGGAGTCCTCTCAGAGATCTGATCATCCCTCCAGCTCGTCAGCGGTGCCAGAGCAGACAGTCTGGTCTAGGAAAGATGAGGCAGTGGATAGTCAGTGACCGCTGAAGGAACATCAACCTCGTACACATGGGAAAAAGCGGGGAATGTTCCCCCCAGGTACAGCTCCCAAATGTTTCACCGGTGGCTGGTGAAGATCTCTGAGTACTCCAGACCCAGAAATGCTTCAAAATGTTGGATGGAATAAATGGAATGGAGGCCTCCAGCGTGGATATTTCTCAGGAAATCACAGACTCACAGAACCATGGAATGGTTTGGGGGGAAGGGACCTTAAAGCTCATCCAGTGCCACCCCCTGCCATGGGCAGGGACACCTCCCACTGTCCCAGGTTGCTCCAAGCCCCATCCAGCCTGGCCTTGGACACTTCCAGGGATCCAGGGGCAGCCACAGCTTCTCTGCCCAACCTGTGCCAGGGCCTGCCCACCCTCACAGGGAGGGATTCCTTCCTCATATCTAAATTCTTTATTATCTGACTAACATGTCAGGCGTCCTCTGGAATGATTTCTGCTTGGAAGAGCCAGTGGCACCCTGCTGGGAGCTGTCAGGAGATGGAGCTGAAGCGGGAGTGATGAGCTGAGCCCACAAGCTCCTGCTGCAGAGGTGATTCCAGCCCATCCCAGACCCAAGGGATTAGTCACACTGTTCCCTGGGAAGAGCAGTCCATTGATTCCCCCTTCCCCTGTGGAAGCCAGCTCTGGAGGCTGTCCCTCCTCCTGCTGTGCACAGCGAGGGTGGACAGGAAAACACCAGCTCCTGCAGACAGGTCCCAAAATCCTGGGGATTCCTGCAGGGAATGGCTCGTCTAAGTCCCACCTGGTGCTCAGTGCATCACTTCCCAGGGAAAGGGAAAGGGAGGCTGCATCCTTTTGAGGAAACAGAGCAGAGTGACCTCACTGCTGGTTATCATGTCTGAGATCTCCTGTGCAGGAGAGAAAGGCCAGACCCGCTCCCAGGGTGACTCACCTCGTGTGACAGGTGAGATCACCAGCCCGGGGCTCCTGGGGATGACTCACTGTGAGTGCTGGAACACCATCCCACTGTCACCTGGCATCCTGGGAGTCACTGGAGTCATCCTGGTCCACGTCCTGCTCTGGGCGTGCCCTCAGCAGAGAGTTGGGATGGTCTGGAGGAACTCGTGGGTAATAAACAACAATGAGACGATGATGCTGAAGTTGTGGAGATCAGGTGAAGTCTCCCACGAGAGACTTCTCTCTGAGGAAGAAATTCTTTACTTTAAGAAGGAATTGTTGGCTGGGAGGGTGGGCAGGCCCTGGCACAGGCTGCCCAGAGAAGCTGTGGCTGCCCCTGGATCCCTGGAAGTATCCAAGGCCAGGCTGGATGGGGCTTGGAGCAACCTGGGCTGGTGGGAGATGTCCCTGCCCATGGCAGGGGGTGGCACTGGATGGGCTTTAAGGTCCCTTCCTACCCAAACCGTTCTGTCATTCTATGATTTTCAAAATATTCCCTCAATCCTCTCTACATTCCTCACTTTTGTAGCTCTCAGTGTGGCAGGAAGTGTAACGGCTGCAGCAGAAATTGCAGCTTATTAGGGATATTTCAGAGCGAGTGGCTCAGGCACCAGCTGCTCTCTGGGGTCGTGCTCTCTGATCTAATTTTATCTCTTGGAGTTCTATAGGAGGAAATGAAGCACAGCTCGTTGTGAGGGGATCAGCTCATCCCTGATGGTAAAGGGAAGGGCTGACCTTATTGGAGCTGCACCAGCACTATCCCAGTATGTAAAAACCAGGAGCAAGGTTGTTACAGTTTGGTTTTAGCTTAAATAATTCATATTTGTTTAACAGGAATTAATGCTAAAGCAGAATGGGTAATCATGGAGTCAGGGAATGATAGACTGGTATTTCCATAAACCCACCTATGCAATACATAACTGCCGTCTACACGATGCGTATTTACTCAGCCGGTGCAATCTTATGCAATAGTTGTTTCTGTGCCAGCATGGATTCATTCGGGGGGCTCTGGGGGTCGTTTGGAGAGGTGCCCCCTCCTCAATTTTAGGCAAAGTCATTCACGGGATTGCTTGCCAAGCAAGACGTGACCTGCTGCCCTGGGCCCCAGCTTCTAAACAGCAGTTAAATCCACATTTACATCCTGTGGCCCAGCCAGGTGAGGGGAGACACAGCAGGTGATGAGAGACAGAGCAGGTGACACAGCAGGAGCCAACTTGTGACAGGAAGACCCCAGACTGTGCGATAACAGCCCAGGTGGCCCTCTGTGCAAGGTTCCTCCTTTGAGGCCATGGCACCGCTTGCACTGATAGGGCAAGGCCCTGTTTCACGACCCCCCTCTCATTCTCCGTGACTCTCTGGGCAGATTATTTACAATTTCTGACCCTTGAGACGTTGGCGTCGGTGTCACTGGGAAGGTGGTGGCACCGGGCAGCGAGGGGTGGCTGTGGCTCTGAGGGGCAGTTGTGGCTCTGAGGGGGCAGTTGTGGCTCTGAGGGGCAGTTGTGACTGAGGGGCAGTTATGGCTCTGAGGGGCAGTTGTGACTGAGGGGTGGCTGTGGCTCTAAGGGGCAGTTGTGACACTGAGGGGCAGTTATGGCTCTGAGGGGCAGTTGTGGCTCTAAGGGGCAGTTGTGACTGAGGGGGCAGTTGTGGTTCTGAGGGGGCATTTAAGGCTGTGGCCCTGAGTGGGCGGCGGCACCTCTGAAGGAGCCGGCGCCATCTTTGCCCCTCAGGCGCAGCACGCGCGGCGGGCGCTGAGGGAACTGCCCGCGACCGCAGAGGCTGCTGGTGGCACTTGGTAGCAGCGGGCGAGGGCAGCTGGTGCCGGCGACACCCGGATCGCTGCGGCCGCGCAGGACACGGAGCGGCCCCGGCGCGGCGAGCGGACCGCCGTGGGGAAACTCCCCGCGCCATCTCCGCTCCCCTCAGGACCCGCCGCCATCTTTGCTCCCTCCCCCCCTCGGCGCGGCGCGAGGGCGGCCGGGTGGGAGGCGCCCGCGTGACCGGCGGGGGAGTGGGCGTGGCTTCCCCGAGGCCCCGCCCTCCCCAGCGCGCTGTGGGCGGGGCCGGCGGGCGGGGGTCACATGACCGCGGCCCGTGCGCAGCGCGAGCCAACATGGCGGCGCTGGCGGGCGCTGGGGCCGCGCTCGGCGCTCCCCGCGTTTGAGGGGCCGGCCCGGCCCCCGCCGCGCTCCCGCCGGCGGCAGCAGCCACCCCGCAGCGCCCCGAGCCCCGCCGCGTCCGACATGAGGGAGAAGGGCCGCAGGAAGAAGGGCAGGACCTGGGCAGAGGCCGCCCGGACGGTGCGCGGGGTGGGGGAGGCCGCGGGGCGGGTCGGAGGCCACGGGGCGGGTCGGGATCGCTCCCGGCGGGGCTCGGGGGGGAAAGGGGCGGGTGGCGGGGCGGCCTCGGCCTCCGGGGCGACGGCGCCTGTCCCGGGGCCGGGCTGGCCCTGCCGCGGCCCCGCTCCACCGCCCGCACTTGCACGGGCAGGGTTGTTTTTTTTTATTTATTTTTTTTTAATTTTGACCTGTTCTCCAGTTGCTTAACGCTTCCCGGCAGGAGTTTCCCTGGGAAGCGCCGGGGAGGGATTGCCGCCTGGATTTGCGGTGGTGAGCGAGGGTTTAAGTCGCATCCGCGAACAAGCGACACGCACAGGGGTGGGATTTTTTTTTTCGGTATTTGCAGCGTGTCGGTGCCTCTCGTGCAGTGGGAGCTGCGGAGTTGCCCCAGGTCAGGCGGAGTCGCAGACCTTGCAAGGAGAGTTTTTATCGCCCATTTTCCCAGGCTGACACTGGGTTTTTGCTGTCCTGTGTCCAGGCTGGACTCGGGGTAGTTCCTGTGTGGGACAGGCACGTTACGGGGCGGAGAGGAGAAAAGGGAAGTTGAGGAGCGGGACAGGGATGGGAGAGGGAGCCGCAGCAGTGCGAGCTGCGGGAGCGGGGCTGAAATGCACTCCGAGATCCCCGCGGGGGTAAAGCCCCCTCCTGGAGAGGGGGAGGAGGAGCTGGAGCTCTGCGAACCTCCCTGCAAGAGGGACCTGTTCAAACAGGACTTGAAAAGTCTGGCTGGGAAGCAAAATGTAAATAAAAACCTGCGGCTGAAACTTGCAAGGGATATTTTAATAAATAAACGCGTCTGGACCTTGTATTTGCAGCCTGAGAGGCATCAGAATAGCTGCTCTGCTTTCAGGAGATGGGATGCAGTGGGAGATTTTAAGGAATAAGATACTGTCCCACTTTGGTGTTTCTCTCTGGGTGCTTTTGGGTGTCATTTGTACCTGTTTCTTTTGAAGGAACGGTGGAAGATTGTCCAGTGGAGGGTACAGGTGGGACCAGATCTTTCCCAGCCCCTGTGCTCTGCTGTCCATCCTCTGATCTCCCCCAGAATCCACTTAAGGGCTCAAACAGGTCTTTAGCCAGAGGCTGCCCTGAGGCCTCAGAGCTGCAGGTTCCACGTTGCCCAGTCAGGACAGGGGCAGGCAAAAGCACAGGAAGAGGAGTGAATCCCTGCCAGAACCTCAGCTCTGGCAGATCTGTCTGCTGGTGTGCTCAGCAGGAACGTTAAACTGCTCTGCTCAAACTCCAGCTCCAATATTCCAGAAGTTCCCCAGTGTTTTTGGGTTGAAATTGTGGCTTTTGGTTCTTGTCTTGGCCTGTGTGCTTGGGCTGGCTCTGCTGCTGCTTGGGCTTTGTAGGGAAAGTCATAAAACCACGCTGAGAAATGTGGCAGCTCCCAGGCACCCTGTGCTGCTGCTTCTGAAACTCCTCAGGCTTGGGAATCCTCCAGGTTTGTGTCCTGGTGCCCCAGCTGGGCTGGGGTTACCCCAGAAGTCCCCAGGCTGCAGGGGAAGGGCCTGGGGCTCTGTGTTTTCCTGGCAGCTGGAGACCTGCTTGTCACGGGATCACCCGGGTTGGAAAAGCCCTCCCAGCCCGTCAGGCCTGCCCTGTGCCCCATGCCCACCTTGTCACCCAGCCCAGAGCTCTGAGCAGCAGCCTCAGGCCGTCACAGCTGGATGTTCTGGTGCAGTTCTGTCCCCCCCCTCCACCTCCTCCTTTGCTGTCACCTCCCCGCTGGTGCTTGCAGGTGGTTAATGCAGCCAAACCAGCAAAAAACCCACTGTTTTTTATAATTAACTGTTGGTGCTGATCTGTTTTGGTGCCAGCTCGGTCTTCCCAGCTGGGAGTTTGGGATGAGTGTCCTCCAGTGCTGGGGACGTGGTGGGAATGTGGGGAGGGGAGAACACCGAGGTAATAATGCCTTCCTGAATTTGTTTGATCCCTTGGAGCGGGTCAGTGTGAGCTGCAGACAAGACAAAGCACACAAGTGTGGCCTTGCTGTCTGCTGGAAAGCCCTGGGGAGGTGAAAGGATGAGGGAGTTCAGTGGGACCCCACTGGGGATCTTGCCCTGAGGTGTCTGTGGGGCAGCGGTGCGGGGTGAGGGGAGGGAAGGGTCCCTGTGTGTGGGCAGGAAGTCACTGTTGATAAACAAGGTTTTTCTCGTTTCCTGGCTCGCTCAAAGTGCAGCTGCAGAGGGCTGGGAGCTGGTGGCTCTGCTGGGACGCCCTGCCTCAAAAAGCCCACCTTGAATGAGGTGAGGAGTGGATGGTGAACAGAGGACACAAGCTGGGGTGAACAGGACACGGGTTTCAGGTGCCCATGTTCAGCCTGTGCCAGTTCTGGAGCTGGAGCACACACTGGTGTCCGGGCTCAGCTGGTGATCCTGCATCCAGACCTGTGCCCTGCCCGGCTGGGACTGAGCTCAGACAGTGGCTGTGGCAGCCCAGAGCTCAGCAGAGCTCTCTGAGTGCTGCCTGTTAACCCAGTGCTGGCAGGGAGAGCCAGTATCCACCAGGACTGCATTTAGTCTGGTTTGGGATGTGTTATCCTGCTGCATTCCCACAGGGATCGTGGGCAGCAGGGCTGGGGGGATCCTGCCCCTCTGCCCCCTCAGCTGAGACCCCCCTGCAGAGCTGCCCCAGCCCTGGGGAACAGCAGCACAAGGACGTGGAGCTGCTGGAGACAGCCCAGAGGAGGCCACGGAGATGCTGCCAGGGCTGGAGCCCCTCTGCTCTGGAGCCAGGCTGGGAGAGCTGGGGGGGCTCACCTGGAGAAGGGAAGGATCCAGGGAGACCTTGAGAGCCCCTTGCAGAGCCTGAGGGGGCTCCAGGAGAGCTGGAGAGGGACTGGGGACAAGGGATGGAGGGACAGGACACAGGAAGTGGCTTCCCAGTGCCAGAGGGCAGGGAGAGATGGGAGATTGGGAAGGAATTGCTGGCTGTGAGGGTGGGCAGGCCCTGGCACAGGTTGGGCAGAGAAGCTGTGGCTGCCCCTGGATCCCTGGAAGTGTCCAAGGCCAGGTTGGACGGGGCTTGGAGCAACCTGGGCTGGTGGGAGGTGTCCCTGCCCACGGCAGGGCATGGGACAGGATGAGCTTTAGGGTTGCTTTATTCCATGGTCCCCAGTGTGGAGTGGAGTGGACCCCCCGGGCGGTGGTTTGGGGACAGCACAGGTTGCTCTGTGTGCTGACGGCGCTCGGGTTGCTCGGCAGGGAAGTTCCCTGCTGTGTTTTCACCGCTGGGGTCTCAGAGTTGTTGCTTTTCCTCTTGCCTGCGTTTAACGCAGTCCTCGTGCTGCGGCTCCCCGAGGCAGGGAGGGAGCACAGCCGAACGCTCCAGGCGTGCCCCTGCTCTGCCGGGAGGGCTCCACAGGGGCCGTGCCCACCCGGAGCGGCCGTCCCAGGGCCGGGCTGAGGTTTGTCTGTGCAGGGAGGGAAGTGGGCGCTGCCTGGGCCGATACTGAAGAGCTTTGTTGTTTGTTTCTCACGGGAAGTCCCCGTGTGTGACCTGACAAAAGGGTTTCCTGCTCCAGGGAGCCAGGGGGGGTGGGGGTGAGTGCAGGCAGGAGAAGGGATCTGGGAATCGGGGTCAGCCAGGAACACCACGTGAAATGTTTGATGGGAGGGGGAGCTGCTGCACCCACAGGCTTTAGAATCCCAAAATGGATTGGGTGGGAAGGGACCTTAAACTCATCTTGTTTCACCCCCTGCCACGGGCAGGGACACCTCCTACCAGCCCAGATTGCTCCAAGTCCCGTCCAACCTGGCCTTGGACACTTCCAGGGGTCCAGGGGCAGCCACAGCTTCTCTGCCCAACCTGTGCCAGGGCCTGCCCACCCTCACAGCCAGCAATTCCTTCCCAATCTCCCATCTAACCCTTCCTTGGCAGTGGGAAGCCATTCCCTGTGTCCTGTCCCTCCATTCCTTGTCCCCAGTCCCTCTCCAGCTCTCCTGGAGCCCCTTCAGGCCCTGGAAGGGGTTCTCAGCTCTCCCTGGATCCTTCCCTTCTCCAGGTGAGCCCCCCCAGCTCTCCCAGCCTGGCTCCAGAGCAGAGGGGCTCCAGCCCTGGCAGCATCTCCGTGGCCTCCTCTGGACTCTCTCCAATGGGTCGATTGATGTCCTTCCTGGTTGCTCCATGGGAAAGGTCTGGAGGCTGAGGTGGAGCACAGCAGGTTCTTCCTGGAGGACCTGGGAAGGGGCCTGTCACTTCTCAGGAGGTGTTGAACGAGGTGGTGCTGCAGAAGATGAAGTGATTAATCCCAGCTTGTGGAATGAGCTGGTGGCTGAAGCTGGTAAAGGATTCCTCGATGTTTTTTCTGGCAGGGATTGTTTGTTGCTGTTTTGGGTTTTTTGATGTTGCCTTTTTTTTTTTTTTTTTTTTTTTTACTTTAACTCCCTGAGTATTCTCAGAGCTCCTTCCCTGTTCTCAGTCTGTGTCCAGGCACGAGACCCGTGTGCAGGGTGGACATGGAGCAGTGGGGAAGGTCTGTCTGCTGTGTCTGTGAAGTGCTTTTGCAGAGGTTTCTGCAGGACAGGGAAGGGCAGTTGGTGGCCACTGCTCTGGGGACCAAAGCACGTGACACAGCGACGTGTCTGCTGGCCAGGGAAACACCTTGGCAGCACTCGCAGGGAAGCAGACTCGTGGCTGGTCAGGACTGAACCCAAGTTGGCACAAACCCTGTCACATGTTAATAGAGAGCTGCAGTTTCCTTCACTCCTCACTCACACGCATCTTTGAGCAACCACAGCCCTTGGATGTGTTTTTTCCTGCGTGTTCTCGAATTGTTTCTTCAGGATTCCTGAAGTGCTGGCACTGCTGGGGCACCCCCAGTGCTGGGCAGGGCTGGCCCCTCACACCAGAGACACAGGGAGGGGCTGGAGCGTGGGCAGGGAAGGGAACGGAGCTGGGAAGGGGCTGGAGCAGCAGGAGGGGCTGAGGGAGCTGGGGGGGCTCAGCCTGGAGAA